CGCTTTGACGTATAAAGAAAGAGTTTTTTTATGAAATCTATATCACATAAAAAGAGTTTCTTTTGTGACGTGAACAAAGAGACACAAGGGATTACAGTAAATGCGAAATAAAACACATTAAATTTCAGTAAAGTAACGCGAGATGCATATCTCTCCACACGCTTGCCAATAGTGTTCATTAACGCTAATTAATCGCGAGTTATTTTGATAATCAACCGCATCACAGCTCTAATTTTAGCATCGCATTGTTATCGGGCTCGTTTTTGCGAACATTTCCCTCGAGCGATGAGTACCGCAACGCTAGGATTTCGTCTCGCGATTCATCAAGTGGACGTATGAACGATTACCATCGTGTCTTTCGCGGTGTTCTCTCTTGCAGAAGCTTTCAGTAACCGATACTAATTAACCCGCCGATAATTTTGGACGTTTTATGCTTGATGAATAGTGAAAAGATTTCAGTTATATCGGTTTCATTATTTTTTTCTGTGATATATTAAGAGAATATTTTAAACTAAAAAATTTTTTAAACTTTTTTTGATACTTTTCTTTAGATGTTTTTAAGTCTTATCTCTCTATTTCAAAAATATATTTCTCAAAAATATTTTTATGTTTAAAAAACTGATAGAATTATAATCATTTGATTAAAATAAATCAAACAGTTTAAACGAAAATTCTTAATGTATTTACAAAGATAAAAATCAAAGTAAAAAAAGTTTTTTTAGGAGCACAAAAAAATGCTGCGTAATTTTGGAATGCGGTTTAAATATATGTACTTCGTAAATATATGTAATTCTGTACTTCGTTAAGATCTTATCTTACAGCAGAGTGAACATTGTATAAATCCATTAAATTCAGATTTAATAATAAAAAATTACAAGATAAATGATAATTAGGCATTCACTGATTTATGCATCGATCGATAAATTATAATTAAGCATTCACTGATTTATGCAGTGTTTTTTCGTATTTTATACTTCGCTTGACTCTGTCGTATACACGGTTGCCACGTTTTCAACTAGTGTCCTTAAGATCGTCATTTCTGCCGGAGATGCCATTACTCCGAAATTCTTCGACTGTTACTGTATCGTAGTGATCTCTCTAAAAAAAGTTAATAGATTTTTGAACCTCTCACCGGAGACACATTTTTCAAAATCGGAGGAAAATCAACGTACGTATACAAAAGTGAAAAAGGCATTATCTATATCATATTATTTTATCACTATCATATTTCTAAAAATCATCAAAGTTTAGAACGGTTAACGTAGAATTTTCTGGGGACGTTATTTGTATATATGTTATTTGTATATATGTATCACGAAGTGATCGCGTGTAACATCGTGTCGTCGATTGTGTTATTTAAATTACTAAACTCGAGTAAATATATATTGAGAACGAAAATTGGCTACTAGAACGCATACTGGAAAATCAGAAAAATATAGGTGACTTTTCCACATTAAGCTATTTCATCCTACTATTATATAATTGATTATAAAAAAGGTTGCTGGTCCTTTCATATCATGCCGTGTTTGTTTTGCACGCATTTTTAACTTATAAGCGTAGAATGGTAGTTCATTTCAAGTATTATTAGAGTTTAGTGATTTAAGACCCAATTTTACAACTGATGGTTAACTCTAATTCTAGAATTGGAAAGAGCTGAGAAATAAGTTAAACCACGGTTAAGAGTTAATCGTGAGTTGTGAAAATGGGCCTAAATGTAGCTTGTTTTGAAGGGACTATTTGCCTGCGTGTATACTCCGTCAACTTCGTCAAAATTTTATAAGCAATGCTTTGTGCTTTCATAAAAAGTATGTAAAATAGCACATCTTAAGACCGCTTAAGATCGATACATTTACAAACTAAGAGCAATGAAACAGATTCATACGATATGTATGCTGAAATACAAATTTGATCGTTAATTGCAGTGATATTATTTTTAATCAATAAATGTTCTATTTTTTCTTCAAAAAAAAAAAAAAATAAAAAAAAACTTGATTATTTTATTATTAGCATTTTCCTTTTTGGTTAAACGCAATAAGATTTTCAAATATATTCTTAAGAGCTGTCTTTATGCAACCTGCAATTTATATTTAAATAATATATTCATAATTTAATGTATCGTGTAATACGAAAAACAATTGAAGATTGCTTTTTGTATATAAGTATGCAAAATGCATACTTATAAAATATTTAAATATGCACACACATAAAATTACATTAAAAATTTATAAATAAGTTGTCCTTTGTATTTTTCTTTTACATAATCGGAAGACTTGTTATCCTAAAATCTGTGTGCGCGCGCGCGTGTGTGTACGTGTGACATTACAGATCAATACATTTCAAAAGAATACTTAAATTCAAATCGAACAATATTCTTGACTTTGTCTCACAAAGTTATAATTGGTTCTTTCGTTACTGTGCTCATATATATCAAATTAAAACAAATAAACTGTTAGGTAAATAAATACTAACAGTTCAAAATATAAAAATAATTACGACATTAAGTGGATAAACTTTATTTATAAATAAATTTAAATTGGATTTATTTCTCTTCGTAACGTTTTTTTTTAAACTTTAATTTAGACTCTAATTAATTTAAAATACTGCTATCGCACGTAAATTTTGACTATTCAAATTAAAATTAACAATAAACCTCCCAGGTCAAGAATAAATTGAGCAATAATGGTTGTTAAATATATCTATAAATTTATTATAATGATAACATTAATATATGGTACGTTCCGTTATATTAATGTTATCATTATAATCAATTTATAGATATATTTAACAACCATTATTGCTCAATTTATTCTTGACCTGGGAGGTTTATTGTTAATTTTAATTTGTTAATTTATTTGAGCTGTTTATAATTCAATTTCAATTTTTGACTATTCAAATCATAAAAAAATTTATAGGTTTAGTCATTTCTCACAGAAGAGCAGGTGGTATTATGATTTACTATTAGTCTTTTACATAAAACTTGATTAATAACCAAATTTAAATTTAAATCTAAATAGTTATATTCAAAATAGTGGCTGCGTTCAGTAGGAAAAGCGACTTCACTCGTTTCTAAACTCAAAAAAAAAAAAGTTACGAAATTTATTAAGATGCTATTTAAACATTACTTAAGAAAAATTATTGATATTATTTTAAAAAATGTGCCGATTATATAATATTCGAGAAAAGAAACGGAAATAGAAATGTAACCTCTGAAAAAAATCAAAAAATTGATTTTGTTTTAAAAATAAATTAAAAAATTAAAAGAAAGTAAAATATTATAGGAATATGCAAATGTATATACATATATGTCTACACAACTTTTTCTACAGACTATTCAGTATTAAAAATTTATTGTGCAATGTTAGAGATTCTCTAATCAAAGTAGCCATAATAAAGAGTCCGACATTTTTCATCAAAATTGTATGAGAAAGGATATATTTTATTTTGCTCTATAATAGTGTGGAAGGGAAAAGTATGGTTTATTTCGCTCTGCAATGATGCGAAACAGAGAAAAATATGTGCAAAGGCAATCTCTAGCTGAAGTGAATTTAATGTCACAGGTTGTTATCTCATGGCCAGATTATGATTAGAGAGTCTCTATTGTCTAATTCATAGAGCATAAATAATAGAGTAACAGTAGGTTATATCTGATAAATTTTTCTGATAAATTTTTCGATAAAATTTGTCGGTTCATCTGATAATTATGAAAACTTTAGAGGGTCACATTAGCAAACAGCCATGCTGTTGATTAACTTTGTATAACTCAAACTGTGTACAAATAAAATGTTAAATAATAAACAACACACACGAATATACACATATCGTGTGATATACGCTTAAGTTAAGAAAACTGTGGAAATACGTATAATTATAATAGATGCTAAAACGTATCTAAAAAATATTTCGTAATGCTTGAAAGTAAAAATGTATTACAATAAACGCTGATTATTATATATTGGCATATTAATGTCGCAGTGTACCGAGCAACTGAATAAATAATAAATAAATCACACACAACTTGGAATTATTTATTCAGTTCCATAATAGTCAGCATTTATTATAACGCATTTTTACTTTCAAACATTTCAAAATGTTTATAAAGTATCCACATTTTCATATTTTAATTACACATACTTCCATATTTTTCTTAAACTTGATTGTATTATCACATGAATATATATATATATATATATATAAATACGAGATAAGAGACTTGTAATGTCTCTCAGTTTTTGAACATGGCCGGAGACACTACCGCGTCTCCTGATATATATATATTCATGTGATAATACAATCAAGTTTAAGAAAAATATGGAAGTATGTGAATTAAAATATGAAAAAATATATATATACCGTATTGTAGTAAACAACACACGAATATATATATATTTACTATAATACGGTTCACTATCTAAATTCTATATAACGGAGATATAAAGAGAAATTATTATGTATGGCCGTAATACTACTACCTTCTCTTCCATAGATTATTGATAATATTAAAACATGAATTAGTTAGAAACAATTATTTATAAGCAATTTATAAAAAAAGTACAAACTCAATATTTATTAATTTTTATAATAATATATTATTTATAAATAAATTAAGATATCATGGGTGTTCTATTTATATCTTTAAAATATAAGTAAATTACTTATACTTCACGATTGTTAATGTGTATGAATTAATATTATTCATTTTTTTGTAAACTAAAATCAAATTTTCCTTTTATTCTACGTCTCGTATTTATAATAATTTGTTCAATTTCACGATAAAATTTATGACAATTCGATAATAATTTAAATATGCGTTTGAACAGAATTCCTAAAGTTTTGGCCAAAAGTTAAAATTGAAATTTAGTTTAATAATCTAACTTCTACTTTTCAAGTATGTTATATGTTGCTGTGACATCTGTACAAGCATAATATATATAGTATATACATAATATATATACATTATTTTGTAGGTACATCGAGCATTCAGATTCTTCATCATTACTATAAGAAGAAATCAAAAGATGATTATTTTAAATAATACAATGAAGAAGACGGCATTTCTTTTCATTATCATTGCTACCATAATCGGCCTATCAGAAATGTATCTATCAAACGGATACAGCAATATTCCTAGCGACAATACGGAAACACCTGGAATAATAAATATATTTAGGCTGATAAAAGGAGTCCTGTATAGCTCCATAGAGAGCGTAGAGTTCTTAGGCAAACAAGTATGGGAGACAACACCGAAAGATGGAGATACATTTGATTTTATAGTGATTGGAGCTGGTACTGCCGGCGCGACTGTAGCTGGGAGATTGAGCAGGAATCCTAAACTTAAAGTACTACTGATCGAAGATGGAACATATGAAAATTTATACATGGATATCCCGTTAGTTCCTGGCTTACTACAAATGACCAAGATAAATCGATATTATGTACCGAAACCAGGCAATAAGTACTGTCAAGGCATGGTAGGCAATACTTGTGTTTGTTCAACAGCAAAAGTTCTTGGCGGAGGTAGCGTAATAAATTTTATGGCAGCTACTAGAGGAAATGCGAAGGATTACGATCGCTGGGCCGAAATGGGAAACGAGGGCTGGGCATATAAAGATGTCCTTAAGTATTTTAAAAAATTGGAAACAATGGAAATCCCGGAACTAATACCGGATACTAAATATCATGGTACCAAAGGACCAGTACATATCACCCAACCAAAATTTCGCACGGGTGTGGCAGAAGAATTTATAAAAGCTGCTAAGGAGAAGGGATATCCACTGGTAGATTATAACGGGAAAGAAGAAATAGGATTCTCATACGTACAGACTACAATTATGAACAGCACCCGCATGAGCAGCAACAGAGCGCATTTATTTTCTGTGCACGATCGCAAAAATTTTCACGTAACTCTTGAAAGTACGGTGACAAAACTGTTGATCGATTCTAGCACAAAACAAACAACCGGGGTAGAATTTGTTAAGAATAATAAAACTATACGTGTGTCTGCGAACAAAGAAGTGATTTTATGTGCAGGTGCTTTTGGATCACCTCAGTTATTGATGTTATCCGGTATCGGACCAAAGAAACATCTTACCGAATTAGGTATAAACGTCATCCAAGATGCACCAGTCGGCGAGAACTTGATGGATCATGTAGCCTTCTTCGGATCATCGTGGGTAATAAATGCATCATCGATGAGTTTAGAAACGACCAACCTGCTCAACCCTATGAATCCACATATGGCAGATTATTTACTAAAGCGAAAAGGACCGTTCACGATCCCGGGTGGATTAGAAATTATCGGTTACGTTGATACAAAACACCCGGAAAAACGTGACGGTTTACCAGATGTCGAACTAATGTTTGGCGGTGGTACATTTAAAGATGAATTTGCTTTTCCACTTATGTTAGGTTTTAAACAGTATTTACGTGAAGAATGGCATAAATACATTGGCACACAAGGTTGGAGCCTTGCAACAGTATTGATGAAACCAAAAAGTCGTGGTCGATTAACATTATTGGCTAATGACATTAATGTTAAGCCAGAGATTATGCTGAATTATTTCGATGATCCGAGTGATATAAAGACAATGATCGCTGGTATTAAAACTGCAATAAGTTTCGGTCAAACAAAGACGATGCAAGCATTAAATTCTCAATTGATAAACATTCCTTATGCTGAATGCAAATATGAATATGATTCCGATGCTTACTGGGAATGCGCGTTAAGGACCATAGGTACCACGATTTTCCACTATTCAGGAACTTGCAAAATGGGAAAAAAAGGAGACCCTACCGCTGTCGTTGATCCTAAATTAAAGGTATTTCTTGGAAAAACGTACTGATTATTGACTAGAAGTATAATAAGTAGTGTATTATGCAAGGATGTATTTTTAATTTACATATTGTATAATGTGTTGCAGGTGTATGGTATTAAAGGATTACGAGTGGTAGATGCGTCTATCATGCCTGAAATTATATCGGGACATATAAACATACCTGTATATATGATTGCTGAAAAAGCTGTGGATATGATTAAAGAAGAATGGGGTTACTTTAAAAAGTCAGAATTATAGAAATCGATTTTTGTAATTACATTATTTTATTATATTTTTAATACTATTGGTACTTCACAATTATAATAATAATTCGTGTAAATATAATGATTAAAGGATAAACAAAGCTCTCGATATCGAAACAATATAGAGGATAATATAAGAATAATATAAATCCGAGAGCCAAGGAAATATAAAATTTAAATTTTTCTGTATATAAAAAAATTCAGAGTATAATTAAATTTCGTATGCATACATATCCTAACATGTTTCGGCTCCTGGATCGAGTCTTCTTCAGATGTAATAAGATCTGTAGTATCGCAGTTACAAAAAATTGTTAGTATTGATTGATCACACTTTTCATCGTTGTGATAACCATATAATTCTTATATTAACATTGTTAGACATACAGCATGAGTACTGTCATGAATATCGAATCTGCAAACATTCGATTTATCAATCCATTGCCAGCATATTCGTTCTCTCAGAGAGTCGCTCATCAGTAAACACACTACAAAAAAGCGATGTAATGTTTTGTAACTGCGATACTACGGATCTTTACATCTAAAGAAGGCTCGATCCAGGAGCCGAAACATGTTATGATATGTATGCATACGAAATTTAATTATACTCTGAATTTTTTTATATACAGAAAAATTTTAATTTTATGTTTTGTTGGCTCTCGGATTTGTTTTTATATTATCCTCTATAAATATAATGATATATCATTCGTGATATAGTTTTTGAAAAAGGATTGAACTCAAGACATAATTTGAATATCAGTCAAATTCATAAATCTGTAAAAGATATTTAAGAAAAGTTTTAATATTTTACTATCGTGACTTAAAATTTTATTCATGTAATTTATATTTATATATAGTTAAAAATATAATAATAAAAAATATTTGTAAACAAGTAAAATGTAAATATGTAAATTAATATATAAATAATCAACTCTTAGTATTGAAAAAATATAATGAATAGGTAAAAGACTAATAAGAGTCAAATATATAAGATTAAAAATTGTATCGACACAAATATATTGACTTAATTATATAAAAAAATTAACATAAAAATTAAACATTAATTAAAATTAATACATAAGTATTTATTTTCTTAGAATCATGAGATATCTATGCAACCGGTCATCCAATCGCTTGATGAATATCCAGGTTTCTCAGAACAGTCACTCAATTTTTCTATTAGTCTTAAAAGTTTTGTACATAAAAAATGTACAAAAAATATAAGATTTTTTGTACATTTTTTACTAATTCTTAATTAAAACCGTCTCTAGTCTGCTATAATGCTTTATTTCGTATTTAAATTTTGTCATCTGATGATGGCCAAAATCCGTGGTCGAAACATGTAATGCGCTTTTTACTATAATAATAAATAATAATAATAATAATATGATTGTTTATTATTCAACATTACATTTTATTAATGTTTAATTTTTATGTTAATTTTTTTATATAGTTAACCATTGACGAAAAAGTCTCAAAATCTAATCAAACTTCCAATGCCGTTTTATATTTCTGCAATTCAATTAATTCTATTGTATTATATTTTTTTCCTTCTCCGTCTTTTGCATATTTGTTACGGTAGATATATCAAATATTGATTAATTTGACAGCATACCATTAAATTAATTAATATACGTATATGTAATTATTAAAATAAACTTTTGTACAATACTGTATATAATATAATACGAAATAAGAATTTTTTAAAAGTCATTGATCATCATAATCGAAGAAAATTCTTGTAAATGGAATAATTTGCATTCTTGATAATCAAAACAATGTATTGTATACTAATTTATACTTGCAGTATTGTGATGTATGCATTACCTATTAAATACAAAAAGGTTTTTAGTAAAAAATAGAAAAATGAATATACTACTTATGCGTAAATATATTTATCGATTTTGCATTTGCGTATATGTATGTTTCAACAATCTGTTAATACATTAAAATAAAAAATATATTACACAAAAAATATACAGTATAAAAAAAAATAATAAACCATTTTTGTTTAATGAATTTTTCAGTATCAGTTATTTAAAATATTTGAACACACACACACACGTAAAAATAAACTAATAATATTTTCAACAAACTACAGTAAAATAAAATATTAAAGAATATCAGTATTCAGTACATAGAAAAACCTGTAGTGTTTGTGTTTTGTTACTTGACATCAAAGTACTGAAAAGTAAAATTGCAATATCAGTTATTATGTGTATTAGGATATTAGCGTCACTATAGGTAACGGTGGATTAATAAGTAAATGAACGATTCTATAAATAATTTAATAAATAAATGAATAATTTTACAAATAATCAATTCGCAATCTGATAGTGAAAATATTAAGAAAGGTATATCTACAAACACCATACTTATACTATCTTTTCCTCTACTGAAATTTCAATTCGAATAGGAGATATGTATTTTTAGAAGACAAAACATTCATCTATATAAAAAAAAACTATGTTTTCTTAATGTAGATAATAAAACTGAAAAAGTTTAAAACTTTAATCAATAATGTCTGTTTAATCAATAATGTCAGTTTCATCTGTCGGGAGTAATAAACTATTAAACGGAAGAACTAGTGAGCCTCTATTATCTGAACCATTCGGTTATTAATAATTGCTTTATCGTAAGCCTCTATTATCTGAATCATTCGATTATCAATAATTGCTAACATTTGAATAAACAAAGTTTTGCTATATATATGACGGTTAGTCACATACTATTCCTTCGTTCTATTTAGAAAAACTTTAACGATTCACGTACCAACTACTATATTTAAATATACTGTATAAGATGACGAGTCTTCTCCGCGGTTTTATTTTGAGTGTCGTGATTAGCTTACTACAGTCTCAGAGGCAACTACCGTTAAATTGGTATCACAGACTTTATGGTAACAATGGATTAAAATTGACCAATATAATCGACCTGTTAAATAATAAAAAAATGGATTTTTTGAAGCAAAGTCAACGTTTTCGAAGTCAAGAAATGTCGGATATGACACCACAATACAATGAAACATTCGATTTCATAGTAATTGGTGCTGGTACGGCCGGCGCTACAATAGCGACAAGGCTAAGCGAAATTCCTGAAATCAAAATATTATTGATTGAAGCTGGCTTCCACGAAAGCTTTATCATGGGCATGCCTAGTATAATACCCATGCTATCTTCGAACAGTGATATCAATTGGAACTACACAACTAAGTCATCTGACAAATACTGTCTTGGTATGAAAGATAACAGTTGCACTTTGCCGGCGGGAAAAATAATCGGCGGCACTAGCGTGCTAAATTATATGCTAGCCACTAGAGGCAATGCTGAAGACTATGATCGTTGGGCTGAAATGGGGAATAAAGGTTGGGCATACAAGGATATTCTTGAGTACTTTAAAAAGCTGGAAACAACGAATTTGAAGTCGGATATTGCCTATCATAATACTAACGGACCAGTACATATCAATTATTTGCCACCTACCCCGTTGGCACAGGCTTTTGTAACAGCTGGCAAGGAACTAGGATATTCATCAGTAGATTTCAACGGAAAAGATCAAATAGGATTCTCATATCTGCAGTACACAATGAAGGACGGTACTCGTATGAGTAGCAATAGGGCGTACTTGCATCCCATACGCAATCGCAAGAATCTTCATGTAACTTATCAAAGCACAGTGGCAAAAGTGCTGATCGATTCTAACACAAAGCGTTCAGTCGGCGTGGAGTTTACTAAAAATGGTCAAATTATCCGTGTATTTGCGAGTAAAGAGGTTATTCTGTCTGCAGGTGCAATCAAGTCGCCTCAGTTGTTGATGTTATCAGGTATTGGACCAGAAAAACATCTTACCGAACTCGGGATAAACGTCATTCAAAATGCGCCAGTCGGTAAAAACCTCATGGATCATGCAGCCTTCTTAGGATTGACATGGAAATCAAATTCAATGAATTCACAATTCAATTCTATTAAACCACACATAACGAATTCTCTTACAAAGTGGAGAAAACCGTTAACAAGTAGAGTCGAAGCCGTTGGTTTTATCAATACAGAACAACCAGAAAAGCGTAACGGTTTACCGAACATCGAATTATTATTTGCTAGTGGTCCAATAATAGAAGATCTAATTCTTTCAAGAATATTAAATCTTAAAAACTCATTACGTCAACAATGGAAACATAGTGACGGGCATGACTGGTTCGTTGGACCAATATTATTAAAACCAAAAAGTCGTGGTCGCATAACGTTATTAGCTAATGACATTAATGTCAAGCCAGATATCGTACTAAATTATTTCGATAATCCTGATGATGTCAAAACTATGCTCGCGGGTATTAGAGCTGCATTAAGTATTGGTTATACAAAGACGATGAAGACATTCAATTCTAAATTGTCAAATATTACTTATACTGAATGTAATGACTACGAATATGACTCTGATGCTTATTGGAAATGTGCGATGAGGATAATGACTTCCACGGTGTTCCATTATTCAGGAACTTGTAAAATGGGAGCAAAAGGAGATCCAACTGCTGTCGTCGATCCTGAATTAAAGGTATTTGCTATGAAACATATAATACAATAGAATTCGCGTAATATACATATAATAATAAGGGATATGGCGTAAAAGTATTTATGAGTTTATATGCAACGTTTTGCAGGTGATTGGTATTCAAGGGTTACGAGTGGCAGATGCATCCATCATGCCTGAAATTGTATCGGCACATCCAAATATACCTATTTATATGATCGCTGAAAAAGCTGCGGATACGATCAAAGAAAAATGGGGATATTTGAAGAAATCGAACTAGATATTTCTTGCGAAGTCATTGCACGTTATTTAAGCTATGTCCTACCAATGTAAACTTAATTTTAATTTCTCGGGTAATTCAATTTACTCTTCACATTATCTATTTTAATTCTAAGAATTAGACAAAAATAATATGTTAAACTGTGAGATTAAAAGTTAATCTTACATTACAGCATTGGTAGAATCGAGTCTTAATTTATGACGATATTATAAACGATACTGGATGCAATGTCGATTGATGTCATAAGTAAGAAATTTACAAAGATTAAAAATAAATAATATTATAATTTAGCATTTCAATATAGATTTTACTTTTGTCACAAACGCCACACATGTATGAGCGTTCTGCGGAGCAAATAACTTGATCGAGGGAGAATCTCTTCGCAAGCTGTTACAGAGTAAGTATGTACACAGTGCACGTGATGCGAGTTGGCATGGCTGAAGCTTTCACACGCCCGAAGTAACCATATCGTGACAACTTGTCGACAGTGATACAACTCTGCTACTGCTCGGATGGGCAGAAAGAAAGCAAATAGTAAAATGAGAAATTGCCTTATGCGATTACAAATTTGATTTTGAGTTCTAAAAGAAAATAATTATTTGTTTCATTGACTACTTTTATGCATAACTATAAATGTATTTTTTTTATAATTTTGTCAACATAAAAAAAAAATTTAGCGAAACACAAACTGACATTTGAACAATTGTGTTTTTTTTTATACTGTTTTTTCAACTAAAAAGATTTTGACGAATACAAAATCAATAAAGATTCATAAACGACGTCATTGTATACACGTGCAGACTAGAAAGTTAAGATTTAATTAAATCAGTCAATCGTACGATAACGATTTTTAACAAACTGTCCAACGCATGCATGCGTGCATGTCAACTCGCGCACTCACACATACGCGAGGACACGCATGTACACGCGCACGCGGTAGCGCTCATCTATTTTCAGAATGTAGGCCAATTAATCCCGCCGCATTTTCGGCATGGAGGAAAAACGAAAACATTACAAGTGTCTCACGGAAATAGCTGCGGGGATAAATGTCCAAGTACCGGTCGGCTCTCCGTTCTTCGGTCTCTTGCGCTCTTCCTATTCGTGCTCTCTCTCTCTCTCTCTCTCTCTCTCTCTCTCTCTCTCGTTTCTTCTTCGCTAGTACGAGGGTAGTGTCGCATAAACGCAATAATTTAATATAGAACATATGTAAGAGTCCGCTGGTTACTTCGACACACCGCTACCCTAAGAGTCGCCTGCATGCGTGATATGTAGACGTTTATTCGATGATGTACAGGAAATTCTACTTATTTGCGTGCGTATTCTAATTATACATCCACAATTAGATTTCGAACTTAACTTTCCTCTCACGAACATTCTACGTTCAACACTATGTCTCTCTAATGTAACTTTTTAGTTGGTATTAACAATTTAACGCGTGTTATTTAGTTTGAGAGAGACGTTCAAAATCAATTAATATGTAAGAGTTATCAACTAACCCATAACGATGTCTTCGCTACATTTTGCATTAAGTGTAGGCAGAAGGCACCAAGAGGCTCTTGATCTTGATGACGATAGCTCTAATGGCGTTTACACGAGCAATATTCAACGTTTACGAGCATATTAACGACTCGTAGTAAACGAATGTGTCTTTTGGAGAGGAGTGTTGAGAAACGCACTGTTATACGTGACAAGAAATAAATTTGTTAACATTTAATGACACATATGAGTGACAGGTATCGCTATTGCGATATATTTTATGATTCAAATTAAACTGGAGTAGGGTAAATTAAATTGATAATAATCGTCGGATTAAACAATTACAATTCGGAATCAGATAAATACTTGCGAAGTAAATACCGTGCGAATATTAATCCTTTCATACAATGAATGTAAATGAAATTAAAAATTAGTTCTGTTATTTGCTGTTATGACGCATAATAAATCCGTCGAACAATAACATTTCAAGTAGGATTTTATATAAAATTATGAGAAAACTAAAGTCTATTCTACAATTGTGTAAGCGCAGTTGTATGTGATAGTAGTTGTAAGAATAGATCAATCACTATTGTAATTATAAGAATAGTCAAACATTCTTGTCGTATTCGGCTGTGATATCAATTTTTACTACTGCAACCACTTACAATGCTTACGCAGTTGTAGAATAGGCTTAACACGACGAATAAAAACGGACACGTGTTATGTAGTTGTAAGAATAGATCAATCACTATTGTAATTATAAGAATAGTCAAATATTCTTGTCGTATTCGGCTGTGACACTTACAATGCTTACGCAGTTGTAGAATAGGCTTAACACGACGAATAAAAACGGACACGTGTTGAAAAGAATAGCCATACGAGTTTTAGGACTTGAGAAATAATCTAATTTCAAATTTTAATAAAAACTATTTCCGTATTTCATCTCATATATTTTATGAATAAATTGTATGCAAGTGCAACCCAAACATACTCCTGTTTGTATTATAACATATCTGTTAGGATCTAATTGTCTAAATCTCCATTCAACAATTTTTTATATTTCTCTCATACTCTTCTGCTTTTGATAACGCAATAATTCCTCGAAATAAATGCCATCTCTCGCCGAATAAGCGTAAGGGAGACAATGATGAATAGAGACGGGTCGCATATTTCACAGAAATTGACAATGGCGTACGTCTTTTCGAAGCGATCGACAGTATGATCATTTTTTTTCTTCTTTTCTCTTTTTATGCGAGCATTTACGGGCTGACGAAGTGTCAGAGGGAACCTCGGATGGGAAGTCAATTACGAAGATCGAGGCCGCATTGTGGTGGCATCGAGGCGGCCCTCTCTTGGCGTGCCAGCGATCGAAATTGCACAGGCGGTCGACCGGAAAATAGGGCCGCGCCCTCCAACGCGCGATCTCCTGCCTCCCGAATAATTTATCTCAAAACGCATCACGCCGCATCGTCTTTGTGGCATTGTCGAGAAGCGAGGGACAGAGAGAGAAGCACTCGAAAAAGCAGACGGACGGAGCGAATAATACATCATGCACCACGCGAGAACATGGTGTGCCGAGAGGATCGATCGTCGGAAAGCGACCTGACCGCAAGCTATTGACAGGAGGATTAATCTCAGCTCCGTATTGCGGATTGCGTGATTGATAAACGTATTGAAAATAGGTAGTAAACGACAGATAATCGACGAAAACATGGCGAGCCGAAATATCTTTGTATCTCTTCACAACTCTATTAAATTCCTTAATCAAATCGCATGTCATAAAACACTCGATACGAAAATAAATATTAGCAAGACATGCGTTTTAGAAATGCACTTGCATCTTGTATGATTCAAAAAATATAAAATATATGTAATGTGGGCACAGTGAAAGAATAATGCATACGTAATGCACAGTGCAACATATATAAATATACGTATGTATATTTTATACATATAATAGGAAATACAGAATAATTCATTTTAATCCCAACAGGAAAATATTCAGAAAATATAGAATTTTACCAAAAAAATATTCCAAATAAAAACTGTATAATATAAAGGAGATGTTCAATATGATGACATACACATCCTCCTTTATAACTTTTATTTGAAATATTTTTTGGTAAAACTGCGTATTTTCAAAATATTTGTCCGAAACTAAATCATCCTATATATATGATACGTCTAAATACAATATGACAAACAGAAAATGTTACATATGCTCAAAAATTGATTCACTTTCATCACAAAAATCTTTTTTTTCAGTTATCTCAATGAGACTACAATAAACTAATTGCACATACGTTTGATATCAAAGCCTCTAAAGATTTATCATTCACCTGGCGAACGTCAGAAAGTTAAAAGAGCGAATATTCGATACACACATGGTAAAGTGTGCATTTATATGTACGATATAAAAAAACCAACCAAACAGCCGGGTATAACGGCATATTGGATTTATTGCTTTTATAGTCTTCGTGCCGGATATCAAGTACCTGCCCGAATCCATTGTTTGAAGGCTCAAATGCCTTTACGTTCCGTCATATAAAAGTTCTTCTCTCAAAATCATTTTTTTTCTCCCGAAACACAAATACGCGTGTATTGATATTTTCTACATTAAATAAATGAAGTAAAAATGAAAATGGCCAGTCTATCATGAAGTATCTTCGTAAATAAAGATTCGCAATACTAGCTCGATGGAGGTTATTGCCTTCATGGTATCAAGGCTTATTCACGGTATACGTTTTACTACTGACACGGAAAGGGCGGGCAAGCACTAGATGCGACAAAGCATTTTTTTGAACCCTTTCGCTTTCCGGGCGCTGTGCAAACTTTTAATAGAATTTAAAGCATACAAGTGGAATCAAGTTTTAATTTCAAAGCTGAGATAAAGTTTTTAGAAACCGGACACTATGAAAGCCTTTAACCTAAATACTTAATCGAGAAGCAATGAATTATCGTGAATTCAAAGATGTAAAAATGTTACACTCCAAATGTGGAAAATTCTGTAACTATTTACAATATCAAAAAATTAAATTAATAAACACTAAAAAATCTGAGAGAATCTCATAATTATCAAAAATCTCTTTCCTCGTAATCGGTAAAAAGTTGATCGAATCGAATTCCACTCTACGTTAATAAAAGTAAATTCTACAAAAAAGGTGCATTAAATAAAGCACAGAAAGAATATAAATCAATTCTACGAAAACTTCGATTCGATGAAAGTAATTTAATTCAATTTTCTCTATCTTTTTACGAGAAAAAAAATAAAAGAAATTACTTTTATTTCATTAATACAAAATTGTCTCTTCAGATGTAAAGAGAAAATCCAAAGACTTTATTAAATACATCATATATATATTTTCCAATCAAATCTCGATAGAAACAGTCTTTTTTAGTTATCTCTTATCCTACATTTTATTTAACTTACTCGACGTCAATGAAATGACACTCTGTCTGATTATTCAGATTCTGTGAGCCAATTCGCTTTGCTCTTTTAGTACAGTAAATGCGACGGATAATCTCGTTAATTTCTACGTACATCCGAAGATTTTCGTAGGCAGACGATATATCGTCTTTACGCGCGCGAGCGTGCGAGCGGTCGTGGGGAGAAATGTTGCACCACAGAAGCGCGCTTGGGTGGGCTATCTATAGCGGTGAGTGTAACCAAACGGAGACTCGAATGTCACTCAAGGATGACAAAACTCATTAATACCGATCTGCTTAATGCCCCGTCTCATGTCCGACATTAATCTGCTTAAAAATACCTGCCGGGGTCCGTTCAAGTGACCCGCCATTTTGGATCATCCGTGTCGGTTTACTTTGTAAGACGCGCATCGGTATGTACCCTCCTGCTCTCAAAGATTACGCGACACGCTCGAGACACGCCGATCCTACCGTTAATATTCCGCGCAGGCTGTCGCCTTCGCTCTGGAAATGCTCCCCGAGCAACTACGGCGAAGCGCAGCAGTTTGAAAAGGAAACGGAAACGACGGAAGTTTCGGTCGCGACTTGAGTCTTATCACTTCTGTTTGCGCCGTTAAACTATTTTAGATGAGTTCACGCGACCAATTGTGATGAGATATTATTTTTGTATCTGACCTATAACCGCCGGTAATATCTTCGATATCACTGTACGGTAGTGACTTATGGTTTTCTGCATCGCTTGATTCCTTCGAAAGTGACAAGATTGAATTTCCTACAGAAAAAATCGTTTTTTAACTGAATAGAAAATTATTAACTTATCAAATATAATCAGTAAAAAAATATATACTTAACATAATCAAATGTATTTTTTGTTATTCACAACTTTTAAAAAATCACCCTTTTTGGACTAATTGCGATAATTTTTTTTAATCACGCTCTGTGTTATAACGTTTTAATGATTTTTGTGTTATAGCTCAATTTTAATAATCGATAAAGTAATGTTTACCTAATTCATTCATAACAACTCAAAAATTATGTTTTTTGAGTTACATCTTATTTTTAAAGAGAATCTGTAAAATTATCAAACATTTTGAAAAAATATTATCTATTCTAGATAGATATTATTATTTTCAAGATTATTTATAGTATAATCACAATTTAAACAGTCTTGAAAAATCTGTAATATAATATGCATTTCCAAAATTAATAATTCACCATAAGTTTCAGTTTCTTGAAAATTTAATTTAATTTACATTTCAAATTACAGACGCGATTTAAGATTTACATATACAATTAATCAATTAATTAAAATAAAAGAAATACCAAAAATTTTCCATAAATACTGTCTCCATTAAATCTTTATTCAGTGAAAAGTAATTCTGTTCTTATTATAGAACCTGTTAAAAACACATTACATGGTTGTTTTGAAGCACCGACATACATGTACCAAAATGTACCAACACTTGTCTACATATTTTTACGAAAGTACGATCTATTTTTGCTCGATGTGCACGCGAGACAACGCAAATTTGATCTTATGGGTTCTTCAATCGTGAGGCTGCATAACGACTTGTGTACTAATGCTGCCTTATGCGATGCAGATGTTGATGATTTTTTGCGTGACAGAACGAGTCATGAGCGACGAGAATTTGCGAGACTACGGATATACGGTGCACTAATCATTTCGCTGTTCCTTCTGCGTACCGCAGAAAAAATATCATATGATCTTTTTCTAACAATCTTTCTGTGCCACGTGTGCTGCATAATAATAAAGGCATAATCTATAGCGTATAAAATATAAATTAAGGATCAAATAGTAATTAAAAGACGGACGTACGCATTACGTCCTTCTTTAGTTTATAATATCTTTATTAATTTAATAAGTAATGGTAATGAATTTTTCCTTTTAATTGGAACATTATTTACCAGAAACTTCTAGTAAACAATGTAACATCAGCAAAATGATCGGTAAAAACAGGAAAAATTTTAATTCTTCTACTAAGGAAGGTTGCATTCAAGGATCGCGCTATCAATGCGATTACATCATTCTATTCTTGTTTTACATATAATGAACAATAAAGATAGAATGACACAATAATGCTGATTGCGTATTCCCTAAACATAGTCAAAGTATGTAACTGAAAAGATAAAAATAAATTAAAAATGTATATTTTTTCCACGTGTGTGTGTGAACTTCATATAACCCACCACAATATAACCATGAGATTAATATTTAATCGCATTTTTTTTTTAATATTGCAATATTAATTTTTGCAATATTCATTTTTGTATTAATATCTATTATTAAAGAAAAATAATCGATATTATTTCTTTTTTTATATAATTCATCTCAAGGAGGAGATATAATCATTTAATGTAATCGTAGGACAAAGTCCCTGAAATCATTATAAATTTCATATGAAATTCCTATATATAATCTCTGATAATTACAAGTGCAACCACGAAAAATCATTGTATTAGATAAAATTGTTTATTTTACCAAATGACTTCATATGGTTCATATATATAATGAAGAAAATTATTTGTAATGAGATGAAATATTACGAAATCAAATATCGTAACTAATGGTTATCCCCTTGTAATTCACATACGTATGGACACACAATTCTAGTTACGGTTGCTAAAAGATCATGTATAAGGAAATAAGGGAGGCCAAAATGGTGTCTCGTTAATGGCTCAACCAATTAAAATTCTTCTTTTTCGTGAAATGAGAGGAAAGAAAGGATTCTCTCTCTAATTGATCCGCTTTATACGTTATGTAAAAGTCTGTGCTTGCGGTCTTAAGTACTTTCCCGCGAGAACCTAAATTTGTAAGCAACCGTACGCAGGGTGGAATGCAAGTAATACCACTCACCGTTAATTGGTTGAAACCTTGCCAAAGGATCCGAGAATTGCCGAAGTCTGTCCGTCACGTACTGTGGCGACTCTCCATTCTGTAAATAAGAGAAGCAATGTAGAGCCACACTTACTTTCTCTCTCTCTCTCTCTCTCTCTCTCTTTCTCTCGATGTAGCTGTTTCCGTGTGCGCAACGTTTCATCTCGCGACGTAAATGAAACAGAGCACGTCGCAAGCATATCATTCACAATAGAGACGAACGTGCTCAGGAATAATGGATTCTCAATAGGGGGGATTAGGAAGACGACCGATTCAAATTAAATCAACTAACTATATCACGCGAACACTTCCCGATAGGAAATCATCGATCGCGCTTAATTCTCCCTGTAAGTGTAAATAATAATGTTTTGTTTTAATTATACTTTCTACATTTCATCCGTTTCTTTCGTCTCGCCTTTTTCAAAGCCCAGACAGGTATTTATCTTGTTTCATTATAATTTCATAAAATTATAAAGGTATTCAGAACACTGAAAATAATATTGAAACCGACTAGTGTTTTTTTTTGCATCGCGTGTTATAATAAAATTATATACAACTTTATGCAATTTTTATATCATATTCTAGTAAAAAGTCAAATTACAAATATAAAGACTCAATTTGTGGATAAAGTAAGAATCTAGAGATAAAGCAAAAATATTTTTTAATTTTTATTATATTAATAACAATTATTTGTTCCATTAACTCTAGAATAATTTTAAAATAATTCGGATTAAAAAAGAAAATGTTTTCTTCGTCAGATTTACGAGTAATAAAATTTTCGAGTAATAAAATTCTTTTCGCCTCGCTTTTTACGATGATTCCACTGTTTAACGCGATTGTGAAGCGTTTGTGAAGCAACCAGAGAAAACGTGTTCATTGTACAAGCATTCTATGCAAAGCGATATAAAGTATGTCAACGGCGCAATAACGTTAATTTCATTTTAATTCGTGTAAAATCGTAACATTTAATACTTATTAATTATAACTATTAAAACATGACTTAATTAGTTATTAATATTACAAATTATTAGTTAATTTATTATTCATCTGCGAGATCGCTCAATTGCTTTTTCCGCTGCAGTTTTGTTTTTTTTTCCTATTTTATTTTATTTTTTTATGAAAACATTTTTTTAACACAAGCAGAAACGATCGTAATATTTAAATTTTAAAGTAGGAGAAACAAAATATATAATTCCTATTACTTCTTCGCTAAAGAGAATCGAGTGGAAAATTTATTGTAACACATTTCAAAGCCATCAATTAATATTTCTAACGAAAAAATAAAAATAAATATAGTATATACACTTATATTTTCTTTTTATTATTATAAAAATGTTAATCGACGTGGATAATGCGTTCGATGAAAAGAGAACAGTTAAAATGGATGGATAAAACTGAAAGATACAAAGTTTAAGAGTATACATATGTACACACATTTCGAAGGTAGATCTCAATAAATATCTTTGTATAATTTTGTTTCAAACTATTGGAACTGTGAAACGTGAGACGTGATATCTTTTAATCATTCGAAACTTTGTAGTGAATTAATCCGACTTAGGTTATAGCAAATATAAATTCCGGTTGTATTCGAGCAAACCATTAATCCGACCGTACTTGAGTTTATCCTATGGTCGAGGATCATCCTACAGATATTCGCGAGCGAAGCGTGACGACGATAGGCGGGAAGCGGCGATGGGTGGAATCGCTGGAATTATCGTTACCCAATTTGCTTCTCCAACGCCACGCGGCCCGTACTGGAAGTTCGCGAAATTGGGTCACCACTGGTGCACCAGCCGGCAGAAAGCGCATCGACGGATGCGCAAATTGAAAATCGAATGTATCGTACACTTGCTCATCGTTTCTCGTTGTTTGAACCAAAGTGCGAAATACAAAACGATATCATTTTCGCCAGGTTTGATTATTTATATACAATCGTTCAATACGAATATTATGTAATGATGAAAAAGATATACATATCTACCTGTTATCATATTTCTGTTAAATGAAAACAGATTTTAAACACTGCACGTTGTAGAAAGAATAATCTATTTGAAGATACTCGTCATGTAATTATTCTTCAACACTTTAAAATTTAACTACATGGATCAAAAAAGGTACATCAGTAGCTTTATAAGTAAACTGTGTTGGGCATATAGTTTACTTATAAAAATTAATTGTCACAAATAGTCACAAATACTGATTAGGTTTTGAAAAATGTGTACAGCACGCGATCAAATTTTATATTTTAATCATATTTTACTTCATATTTATATAATTTATATAATTTCATTACTAAAATAAAGTTCTCTTTAATAAAAGGGGGTTAGTTTTTCTGAAACAAACTAATTTAAAAGAAATAATAACAAGTGTTAATATATGATTTGTAATAAATCGTTTCCCTCAATAAAAGATATTAAGTAACATTTATGATATACCAAAATATTTAAAAAGGAATTGAAAATTAGGAAGCTAGAACGACCAAAGGAAACGTTTTCAAAACTGAAATCACCAATAAGATACATATAAAAGCTTATCAACTTCATTGTGTACATATTCCGATTTCGTCTCAAAAGCATAAAACGTAATGCAGCTTCTCCAAATAATGAGAATGCACTATGACAAGCCGACTGAAGCTGTCTCTAGCCTTGTCGTCTAAGTACTTGAGTTACCAACGTATATGCCAAGAAAGTCATATGAAGGATGATTCATGACTATGTGGCATAAATTTAGGATTTGCACTCCGACATAATTTCATCAAGAAATTTACCTAAACACGGTTACTGTTTCGGAGGTTACGAAGCTATACGATTTACGCCGCAAAAAAATTACGAGAGTGAGACGCGAGAGATGAATTAGGGATGCTCGCGCGCGGAAATATCTAAGCGTCGATTAACGGAGAATTTCATTGATTGCACTGAAGACTATTTTTCGATGAGTTCGCCACGTTCGTTCCAGAAATCACTGACCGCCGCATTTTGCGATCAATCCAATTACTAATACCTCGTATCGCATTCAATTAATCCGGCCGCGTTCGAAAGCCCTTTCGAACAGCTCCCGTGATGCGCATTACATAGCATCGCGTCGTAATACAAACCCATGTAATCACGCCACGTAATCATGACATAATTGCGGTAACGCGTGTGACTGTGAACAGTGCGTGAATTTGGTTCTAATTAGATGATAAAGTCACGTAGCGTAAGGTGAGATGATTATCGAAGACAAAAAGAGAAGGAAGAAAGAGAAGCAAAGAAGAAATTTGTACATTCAAACAATAAGAGCTGATAAATCAAGTAAGTAATTATTTTTTTTAAAGAGAAACCTGTAAGACGAATAAATTAGATTTACGCGAGTAAGTAATTAACTTCGACGTAAACTAATTAAACATTTTTGGTACACTCTTTTGTGATCTCCCTTAGATATGGGGGGGGATCATCTGTCTTCCAGGATTTGGAGAACCGCAAAGAAACGCGTTCTCATGTATGTCTTTAATGAATATTTGTAACGGCGGCACGGAGCAGAATAGTTTTTCGCCGGCGGACTTATACTGGTCGTCGTAAACCCCGAAGGATACGTCGACTCGCGGCTACAATTTAGGGCCGCAGGCAAGCCGAGAAGGCTTTACCGAAACAGAATGCTCCCGGGTCGAAATGCGGTTACTTTACTAATCGTAGATTCTGGCAGCGATATAAGCGTCTCACCGCACGCTTACGCAGGCCGTACGAACACGCTTAATGTACACGCCGGCGGCAGGCGCGATAATGCACCCGCGCGGATCCGCGCACGACTAAATAAATTCCGGATAATCACGCGGCCGGGAATACGAGGCGCGCTTAAACGCGAGATATTCTCGCCGGAGCGTGAACCTCGGATTGCTTTGCGTTTACCGGAAATCTCCGGAGACGTATGAGCGAGGAGGAATCGCCGACGAATGCCTCGCGGTGCTTGGCGAAAGCGACTTTGACAGTGCGTGAAACATCCGCTTGTCTCCATTTGTCTCACACCACACGTATACTCGTAAACTCAGCGAAGAATTTATCGATTCCGCGGGACAACAACGAATCACACTTATGAACATCTAACACCCGCAGTTTTGTCTTAAGAGTCACTCGACTGTACAGTATATAAACTATTTTTTTTTAAACATCTTTTTTTTATAAATAAAATAAATTCTATATGTACAAATTTGATTATATATATTATATTATCGAAACAGTCGTGTAAAGATAATAAAAAATTTACGCAACGATATGTCAAATTTAGAATTCAAGTTTCAGATAAAAAGAGGTTCCAGCTTTTTTTTATCGATTATCTTTTGATAACCTCTGGCGAGCCGCCAAGCGACCCGTCGTCGTGTTATATTTAATCTTTAATTTGTATCAAAATAATTCAATATGTTTCTCAAAGGGAAAAGTCTAGACGGCAATAATGATTGCATTCGATCTATAAACTCAATGTCGATAAACACTACCAGGCAGTACTCCAGAGAATAAATGTATCGTACAGCATCTGTGCACCTATCATGAGCATGTCAAGAACATCAACAAGGAATTTAAAGATTTTTCTTATAAAACTTTCTTTTTTAGATGTATTTGTACGGCATTTATTAATTTCTGACGGTAGACCTTTTGCTTACGTAAAGCTTTGGTCTCATCACAGAGTAAAGTTTGTAATATATTATGCAGATTTAAATTGTTGCTGTCACGCGAAGAGCCGAGCTCTGGCAACACCCACGTCATATTTTGACCATCGTTCATCGTAACGTCAGAAACGTCGGAAGATAATGTTAATGTTACTTGCAATTTATAGTTAGCTAAGTGATCTTGTATCGATGAAATTATCACTCCAAAACGAAGGATTGAAAGGTTGTCATCGGTATCTCCTTTATGTTTCTCGCGATGTTTCTCTTCGGGTTTATGAACAATCGGACAGACATAGAGGGTTCAATTGATATGAAAAAAATTGTAAGATCAAAAAGTAATAAAAAAAAAAAAAAAAAAAGTAACCGGGGATGAGGACTAAATTGGTGGAGGGCAACGAAGCAGAAGTTAGAAATCAAAGCTTAACAAGGAAGCGATCGTTCTTGTCGACATTGAAAGCTCGTTTTCCCCGTCAGTGGCTACCATCGGAGCATAGTGGGTGAATGCGCATCGGATGCATTCCGGAGGTGGGGTGTGCGAGGGTGGAGAATGAAGAGTCTGTGATCGGGAATCGTTTCTGCACGAGGAGAAAGAGTTGGCCGCGCTCTATCTCCACTTTTTCCCTTTCTCTCTCTTCTCGCGCTCGCGTATCGATCGACGACGATGGCACGCCGGAATGCCAATCGTCCATTCGGCCTGCGAATTCGCTCCTCTTCTGCTTTTGTCCCTCGTTTACGCCCGCGCTCTACGGACAGCGACGCACCCCGATAAACACACCCTGTACACATTTTATTCGACTCCGTATCATCTGTTTGTCCTCGGCGCATCTATATGCGGCGTCGCGGCGGACTATTCTCGGAGTGAAAGCGATTCCTCTCGCTCGCACCGCTCACCGCCACCGTGTGTTTCGAGAAACGCTCCGACATCCAGCATGATACATTCCGCCGGCAGTGATATACGTTCGCCGTGGAAATCGGGATAAAATGGTGTATCCAGTTGTATCGGATGAGGCAACGATCGAAGATGAAAAATTCGTCAGTTTGCAATAACAGATACGCGAATGCATGCCAAAAAAAATCTCTGATAGAAAAACAATCAACGTAAATCTCTCTTTTCTCTCACTTTCTCTCTATGTCTTTTTCCCTCTCTTTTCCCATGTTATTTTTTTCTCTTATTCAAACCGATTCTTTAGTTCTAATTCAGCCTAAAACAGATGTAAGTTGTACGAAAACGAAATTGTAAAAATGAACTCATTTTGAATCTTAATTATTTCATATAATCAAGTTAGGATTTTTTTAATTCAAAATATTCTCCTTTTAAGCTTTTCATGTAAACTACAGGTATCCCAATGTGAATCTGCGGGAATATTTCTTATGAGAAACGACCGATGAATTTGATAGATTAAAGCTACAGCCAGAATATTCATGATTTGTGATTCATAATTTGCGGAAGATTAATAAGTGAGATTAATAGTGTGAATGGAAAAATTCGTTGAGTTTACTCGTGCTCATCATTCGTGCCAATTCAGCGGTTTTTTGGTGAAATCGAAAGCCACAGACCAGCCAATTTGTGTTCGTTCGTGTATATGTATATAAAACTTTACTATTCAAATGGTAAACTACTATAATTGCAAATAATATAGAGATCTCAGCGAACACAATGAATTGCTGCAAGTCTACTATAAGTCGTGAATTGCAAATCATTAATCGCACATAATTAGCATATGTATTTCGAGGAAATTACCGCTACATCAGTGCCAATCGTGCTGCCTGTGTACATCGAGTCGCTAACACGACCTCGGTATATCCGAGTATTAATATCGGATGAAAATCCCTCGGAGGCAGTTCGCGTCGCGCTTAGGGTCAAATAAGTTTGCCACCGCAACAGCGGTGGTCGGCAAGCGAGGGGGTCGGCGAGCAACGGGGTCGACGAAAGTGCGAGACAAATTGATCCTGGGGCTTTGTAAGATGCGGCTTGGACCGCGGAACGTGAACTCGCTCATCGTGTCTCATAGGAGGCCAGAGGCTGTTCGGGGCAAATGAGTAAAAGGCTCCCCGAGCTTCCTGCGCGTCGTAAGAGTACTGGCACGAATGGAGGGAAAAGGGATTCCTGAGCGACCGCAGGAATTTCGCGGTAATCTCGTCGTCACGACGCGCCGCGCTGTCGCGTTCATGGAGATTCTCTTCTTTCCTCACAGAGGTAGAAGGGGCAGGAGAGGGATTACACAATGAAATATATATTTCTCCGCTCTTTCGCGCGCGAACACGTCGACGCACCCTCGCTAAATATAAGCCCGCCGCCTTGCACCGGCAAAGTCCCACAAATCACAATGCCACATAAAAAAAAAAACAACGCGAGGAGGGAAAAGAGATCTCCCGCATTGGATCCATTAGGTCAACTCCTTCGTTTACCGCTCTTATACCTCTGCTAGTATCCTCTCACCTTGTTGGATGAGAGAGAGAGAAAGAGAGAGAGAGAGAGAGAGTGTGTGTGTGTGTGTGTGTGTGTGTGTGTGTGTGTGTGTGTGTGTGTGTGTGTGTGTGTGTGTGTGTGTGTGTGTGTGTGTGTGTTACAATCTGGATTATTCGATAATGCCACTTAAGAACATTTTAAGTGTCAGACCGATAAGCACGTCTACTGTCTCTCTCAAGAAAAATAAGTTCGCCAGAGTTCAATTCTACTTTCGTTACAAATCGTACAGATCTGTTTCTTTTTCTTGGCTACAAAAAAGGGGCAGATAATTTACACTCTGAAGAAAAAGAGTCCATTTAAACTCTTCTTCTGCCTTTCAACCCGAACTAGATTACAACATTGAACAACAATGACAATTTATTGAAATATAAGATTCTTAAACAAATTAAGAAAATTCCTTCGAAACTTAAAAGCTGAAGAATTTTTATTTTAAATTATTTAAATTCATCGATCGCATAAGTTTTAAAATTAAATAGATTTGTTACATTAATCGCAATTTATCATAATTGAATATTTTCTTATTTCTTTTCGATAAATATTTACGAAAATAAAATCCGTTACTGTGCATATCTATACAAAATATACATCTACGTACTTTGATAGATTGTAACAGTAGATAAAGCTTGATCGATCGATTGTAACGCGTCGAGAGTTCGATGAAAGAGAAATACAATTACATTCCAATTAATGTCTGAAATCGGAATGGCTCCGAGACATCCATTCGCGGTGTATATCACTGACCATCGCTGGATATAAAACTTAACGAACCTAGCAAAATGAAAACTTTTATTCGATAAGTTTGTTATTGAGATATATATATTCTCGTCAATTTTATGCAGAAATTCTGCAAAATCATGAAAGTAAAATGCCACGTTTTCTAAACTCTTTTATATAATTTTTATAATAGATTATATATGCATATATAATATATTATTTTATAACTTTATGTAAAGTTATAATATTATTTCCACAAATATATATATATATATA